CTATAATACATTTCAGGCCTTCTGGTAGGGTCTTCAGCATGAAGAACCAGTCATGTATGAGATGTCATTCTTGCATTCAGGAAGCTTTCAGTCCACTTTGAGAGACAGACATATAAATAGATAAAAGGCTGTGCAATATGGAGAGGGCCATAATAAAATTTAAGTTAAGTGCCTTGGGATCCCAGGTGAGAGAGTAACTTTGCTTAGGGAAGCTGGAGAAGCCTTTTATATAGGCAGCAGAATTTGAGCTAGATCTGAAACAAGGAATAGAGGTTTTCCAAATAGAGAAGGTTAGAAGAAAAAACATTATAGGCAGAGGAAATAGCATATGCAAAGACTTGGAAGCATGAAAGAGCCCTGTGGTTCCTACGAATGTCACAAAGTTCAGTGAAGCTGGAAAACAGAGTATAAAGAGAACAAAAGATTAAGCTAGAGAAATAGGGTGTGTATCAGTTATCTGTGGCTGCATAACAAACCACCCCAAAACTTAGTGGCTTAACAGAACATTCATTTTATTTGCTCATGATGATACGGGGCTTTCTCAGCTAGAAGTGGTTCTTCTACTGGTCTCACTTGGGATACTCATGTGGGTACAGTCATCTGTATATTAGATGGGAGGCAGCTTGTCTCTGAGTCACACGTTCCTGAGGTCTAACTGGGCTTCCTTACATGGCAACATCGTGTACTACGACAATGGGGGCAAACCTGTAAGAACCTGTAAGATGAAAACAGAACCCCTTGAAGCCTAGGTTTGGAATTCACACATTGTTATTTCTACCACATTCTATTGGCCAAATTAATTCATGGCCAGCCTCGATTCCAAGGGTGGGAAAATAGATTCTACTTCCTGATGGGAGGAGCAGCAGAGTCACCTTGCAAAGGGGTGTTAAGAACAGGGAGGGGAGAGATGGTTGTGGCTGTCTTTGCAAACAATCTACCATAGGGTGGAAGCAGATTGTAAAGGCCTGCATACAAGGTAAACAGTTTGGAACTTATCTGAAGGGCAAAAGGAAGCTATCAGAGGTTAGTTGTTTTGTTTTGTTTTGTTTTTAAACACTAAGGTAGTACGATTTTCTGCTCAGCACCCCTTATTTAAGGAACCATTCTTCTCCTACAATCCCCATGGTTATTGCAGAAGCCATTATGTTAGTACAGTGGCCCACCTTTTGGTTGGTTGTTTGGGCCAGTCAGAATCCTTCCTTTAGACTTTTTTTCTACTGAAAGTGAGAGTTGGACTCTTGCCAGTACCTGAAGCTGTAAGATATAACCCTTGGGGAGTGCTAAGTGGCTACATAAAGAAAGCAGCTCTGTACAGAGAAGCAGAGGTGAGAGGTGGAGCCCTGATGGCCTTGAAATCCACTATTTCTGATATCCCTCTTTGCCAAGGCTTTTTCAAGTTTGGTCTCTCTCTTGCAACCACACAAGTCCCAGCTAATACAAAGAGAAGTTAACACCTGCAAGTAGGGAGTTGCAAGTGACAGCATAAAAATCTGAAACCAGATGAGTTTTGGGTGTCATGATTATTGGGAAGTTATGTTAACTGGTTTTTACTGGTATGTAAGAAAACTATTGCTTTTTATATTTTGTATGCAGCTACCCTATTTATTCTTTCTGATGGCTTTTCGACTGAATCTCTTGGAGTTTCCTAGACCAACAATTAGATTATCAGAAAACAATTATGTTTTGTCTTTTTCCTTTCCTATATGCATATATACATACATACGTGTGTGTGTGTGTGTGTGTGTGTGTGTGTAATTTCTTTTTCTTGTCTCACTTGGTTGGCCAGAATCTTCAGAGCATTGTTGTATAATAGCAATGATATTCATCATTCTCATCCTATTCCTGACTTCATAAAAAAGATTCTAATGTTTTCATCTTGGTGTAATTTTTTTTAACATCTTTATTGGAGTATAATTGCTTTACAATGCTTTACAATTCACAAAGTGAATCAGCTATACATATACGTATATCCCCATATCTCCTCCCGCTTGTGTTTCCCTCCCACCCTCCCTATCCCACCCCTCTAGGTGGACACAAAGCACCAAGATGATCTCCCTGTGCTATGCGGCTGCTTCCCACTAGCTATCTATTTTATATTTGGTAGTAGTGTATATATGTCCATGCCACTCTCTCACTTTGTCCCAGCTTACACTTCCCCCTCCCCATGTCCTCAAGTCTATTCTCTATATCTGCATCTTTATTCCCGTCCTGACCCTAGGTTCTTCAGAACCATTTTTTTTTAGATTCCATATATATGTGTTAGCATATGGTATTTGTTTTTCTCTTTCTGACTTACTTCACTGTGTATGACAGACTCTAGGTCCATCCGCCTCACTATAAATAACTCAGTTTCGTTCCTTTTTATGGCTGAGTAATATTCCATTGTATATATGTGCCACATCTTCTTTATCCATTCATCTGTTGATGGACACTTAGGTTGCTTCCATGTCCTGGCTATTGTAAATAGAGCTGCAGTGAACACTGTGGTACATGACTCTTTTTGAATTATGGTTTTCTCAGGGTATATGCCCAGTAGTGGGATTGCTGGGTCATATAGTAGTTCTATATTTAGTTCTTTAAGGAACCTCCATACTGTTCTCCATAGTGGCTGTATCAGTTTACATTCCCACCAACAGTACAAGAGGGTTCCCTTTTCTCCACACCCTCTCCAGCAAAATTGTTTGTAGATTTTTTGATGATGGTCATTCTGACTGGTGTGAGGTGATACCTCATTGTAGTTTTGATTCATCTTGAGTGTAATTTTTATAGTTCATGTCTGTTAAATACTCTTCGTTATAGTAAGAGGATATTTTTTCTTCCAATCTAAATTTAATTTGCATTTTGAAAATTTGAAGTGGATAGCATATTCTTTCAAATAATTTTTCAGTAATTTTCAGCTTCATATTTTTTCTCCTTAATATATAAATGAGTCAATTATATTGAAGTATTTATTACTATTGAATCATCCTTATACTCTGATAATCCCTACTGGTCTCGATGTAGATTGCTTTCCTGCAGTCCTGAATTTGATAATATAGGCAGCCCTCATTTTGCTGGTACCATGTTAACTGCTACTTGTGCATATCAGAGCCATGCCCTTGCTCGCATGGTTCTAACGTGTGTACATTTTGTTTTACATTGGTGCTGGGCAAAGTGGAAATCACTAGTACTTTACTTAGAGCAGTTTACATTTATATTCATATACTTTGTTGGGGTTTTTTTATCATCTTTATTGGAGTATAATTGCTTTACAATGCTGTGTTAGTTTCTGCTTTATAACAAAGTGAATCAGCTATACATATACATATGTTCCCATATCTCCTCCCTCTTGCGTCTTTGGTATAATATCTACTATATTTGGATTAGAAAAAAAATGAAGAACGCTTATTTTTCCTGTGCTCCAAAACTGTTTACATACAAAAGAAAAGCTGAATCAACTCCATAACACCATCTCTTTATGAGTGACATACATCTTTGACAGTCATTTCATTCTCTTCTTTTGTTTGGGGCTCTTCAGATCTCTTACCTCTTATTGAACCAACTTTGGTAATTTATATTTTTCTAGAAAATTGTTCAGGTTATTTATATTTTCAAATTAATATGCATAAAGTTTATGACATTCTTTCATATTCTTTATTCATTTTCTGTAGTTATTGTCTTTCTCATTCCTAATATTGTTTATATTATATTTCCTTTCCTCTTCTTTCTCTCTCTTTCTTTCTATCATATTTGCTAGAAGTTTGTCAACTTTATACGTCTTTTCAAAGATTACATGTTTTCATTTTTTATCTATACCAATTTATATCTTTTCCAGTTCATTAATTTGTTTTATTTTTATTGATTCACTCTATTTTTGAATTTGATTTACTTTTTCTAGTCTTTTGTGTTGAATAGTGTTCGCTTATTTTTAATAAAGTTTCTAACAAAGGAGTTTAAGACTGTGGTGTTATTGGAGTATATTTGGCAACACCTCATACATTTTGATATGTAATGTTTTCAGTTTGCCTCATTTTTAATCTATAATTCAGTTTTTATTTTCCTCTTTGACCCAAGGGCTATTAGAAGAATGAGTGTTACCTGTACAGTTTCTACTTTTAAAACATCTCTTATTGAGACTATCTTTTGTCCTAGAATGTGTATTCAACCTAAACTGACTATGAGCAAGGTCTGGTTTTATCTTTATGGCTCCCTCTTGAAAGTAAAGCTTTCTTACCCACCAACCTTCCTCCTCCTGCCATGCCTAAATAAGGAGCACTCTCTAATTGTCAGTATAATCATTAAGTCTTTCATATCTTTTGTACAAATATTGACATTGAAGCCCTATCGATCGTTAAGTCAGAAATATTTCCAGACTTATTCAGATAAATTCAAGTGAAGAATCAAGGGGCATTAACTTGCTGTGCAAAATGGACATGTGAGTCATCTTTCCCTTCAGCACCAAGTACATGCAGAGATCAGGGAAAGTAATGTCGGAATGATTCAGAGTTCGATAAGTTTAGTTCAGGAATTCTTCAAAGAGGATGGCTGAATTTTATTGAAGGGGAGGGAAGGAAATGATATCCTAGAAAAGAGACGAAAGGGCTTTCCAGAGAGGAACAGTGAAAGTTACAAGGCCAATAATAAAAATAAAAATAATTACATATATATATATATATATATATATATATGTTGTGTGTATGTGTGTTCATTACTATTTACAAACCCTTTCACATCCACTACTTTATTTAAGCATTACAATAATTCTTTGAGAAGGTATGATTATTATCTCCCATCCTGTTTGCTTAGAACACTGAGGTTTAAAGGGACTAAGTGGAGCCCAGTGTGGAACCTAGATCTTCCAGCGTGAAATTCACTGTTTTTTCCACTATATCATGCTAAGAAGGCAGCCCTCTAGAGGGCTCTGCAAAATACAGCCCCTGGTGAGGATCAGGAGAAGGAAGGAGGGGTCTGGCTACTTGGGTGTCCGCAAATTTGTAACCTCAGTGTTTGTCTCATTTGAGATCCCTGCAGTGAAGCTGAACGAGCTGCTCGAGAACTTTTATGTCACCGTTAAGAAGAGCGACGGCTCAGACTTCCTGGCCACGTCGCTGCACGCCATCCGCCGAGGCCTGGACCGCATCCTGAAGAATGCGGGCGTGGGCTTCTCCATCACCAGCAGCACCTTCAGCTCCTCCACCAAGAAGCTCAAGGAGAAGCTGTGGGTGCTGAGTAAGGCAGGGATGTCAGGTGCCCGTTCTCGCAACATCGTCTACTTCTCCCTCTCTGATGAGGAGGAGATGTGGCAGGCAGGGTGTCTGGGGGATGACAGCCCCATCACCCTTCTGTCCACCGTGGTCAAGTACAACAGCCAATACCTGAATATGCGGACGCTGCAGGAGCATGCTGATCTGATGTATGGTGACATCGAGCTGCTCAAAGACCCACAGAACCAGCCCTATTTCGCCCGGACAGACAGTGTCAAGCGGGAGAGTCGGAGTGGTTCCACTCGAGTGTGCCACGGGAAGATCTACCATGAGCATTCCAGGGGACACAAACAGTGCCCTTACTGCCTCCTCTACAAGTACATGTACATCCACCGACCACCCACCCAGATGGAGGCCAAGTCCCCTTTCTACCTTACCGCCAGGAAGGAGGCCACAGACATGGGCAGCGTGTGGTACGAGGAACAGAGGATGGGACTGAGGTCTCTTCGGGGAATTGTCCCGAACTTAGCCAAGAAGGTCAAGCTGGAAAACTGTGAGAACTTCACCTTCGTCTCATTTACTCAGGTCTCCAGGAGGCTTGGCTCCCACAGCTGCTGCCAGTGAGTCTCCCCTGGGTCCCGGCCACCACCCAACACACCTGGCAGGGGGGCGCTCCCCCCGCAGCCAAGGCCAGAGTTCTGAGGTGGCAGGGATGACCGTGATTTCATGGTCAGGCTGGTCCCTGTCAGTGGGACTTCCTATTTCTTTGACTTTGCATTTGTTTTTTTAACTGAAAGTAGATGAATCTTTAGGATGTTTTATCCAGATGTGTGTCACCTTTGTTAAATTATAGAGTCTAACGCACTGTATAAATTACTACATACACAAGAGTGAGGAAGTTCATTTTATCTAGTGCCTTTTTAGCACAGATTTTCTCAAAAAAAATAAAAGGGAGTGGGGAAGAAAACCATTTAAGTAGTCATTAAAAAAAAATCCCAGTAGCCTAGTAGCTTTAGAATGTTATACACACTTTGTGGAATTACACTCACAGTGAGGAGCTAGGAAGGGAGAGGCAGACGTGTTAACTATTTCCAGGAGAAAAATGGCACCTGGCACTCCTCCTTATGTTTTGTTGATGGATAAGTGGGTCCTGCAGAGCAAGCAGCCTTGGTTGATGGAAGGTCGTGGAGCTACGCTCAGTCACACTGATAGGAAAGTGGGGACTGCTCTCAGCCCTGGGAGGACTTGACCTCTGCATCAGTGGAGACAGTTTTATGAGAAAAGATTAATGCACCAAACGGTGCTTGTGAGAACAAGGTTTCCGATGAACTAGATGGTTTGTACAATAAGGGAATTTCTAGTAGTAGAGAAAGTGTCTTGGAAAAGCGGTCTGCGATCAAAACGTGAAAAACCTCCTGAAGCAGAAGTGCCTACGTTTTCTTTCTCAGCGTCATGTGAAAGCTATTTTCGTTTGAACATTTTTTAGAGTTTGTTTTTTTTCATCTGTTCCTTGTGTCATACAGTTGTTCCAGCATATAGCACTGGACTGTAAAACAACTGAAAGTAATTTTCAGGCGTAACCAGGAAAATCCAACAGAACAAGCTGCAAAGAAAACAAATTCCAAAACATGTTTATTAAAGAGTTTTGAAATATTTTTGTCAAAGTATGACTCTTTCAGCCACAAGAGATCTCATCATTTTAGGTTGGCACCAATGCTTGGGACACGAGGATGTAGGCAACCTACCAGGTAAGCAAACCCAGCAACAAGCACAGAATTGAAAAATCAGACCATGATGATAGGTTATCAGTGTAGTTTGAAATCATTTCACTCAGGTGAGATTAAATCTGACCACTTGTCATTCAAACATTAACAGAATGTTATAATAACTGCTCTGAATAAGTGAAAAAGGAGCCCAAAGAGGACTAATTAATAATAATAATAATTTCTAGGGAATCTTTATTTTGTATTTGAGGAAAGACTGCTACAACTTCATACCATTTTGTTCCTGTGTATGTTTTCCAGTCCACAATTGAAAGTCTAGTATACATTCATTTTGTAGGAGTCCTAAAATCAGCCCTATTTCTTTTTCAAAACATTATTTTAGTATTTATTTTAATTGTTTTAAAAAATCATTCACTGGTCATTGAAATATATCATACTTCCTTTACCAGAGAAGACTCAACCAATGCTGCCTTAAGGTTTAATGTTCCCTTTTTAGTTCCTGCACATTTATTTCGTTTACTAGTTGATCTTTCCTGAATATAGATTAACTCTGGTATGTCTCCATCTGTATATAAATAACAGGTAATCTTTAATAAGCAGTGTTATGACTTGATATTGTACACTGTTCTGTTGTAGTTTCCTATAGGGATTTTAAGGTTTTGATTAAAAGAGACACAAAACACGAGGTACAGTTTCCTTTAGTGGGTGAACACCCAAAGGAAATTTTGTTTGAGGAAAGCACATGGTGGTTTTTCTTGTCAGTACTGCACTTAAACAGAAATATAACCTATGTGAACTACTGGGCAGGGCCTGCAGCTTAATTAATAAAACCTCCATTTTTATTTTAAATCGATTCAAGAAGAAATTGCCATTAGATATCACTGGGATCTTTTCAGATTTTAACATTTCCAAAAGTAGCAATAACTGATCCAGAGGCTGTAATCTTTCTGTTGATAGTGGCTTTTTATCAGCTGAGTAACAATCTCTGCCTCAGGTTTGTCGCTTATCACCTATTTGATGGGCTTTCAACCCTCAGAGTTCTGAAGTGAATGATTATAATCAAAGTCAGGAGGTAGAATCTCCAGTGGTACCTGATGGAAGGAAAGAATCGTATCTCAGCATCCTAAATGCCATTCATTGCATGCCTCCTGTGCCACCCACTGTATAGGTACTTTGTCTATTATATATTTGTGTGTAGATGTGTATGTGTGTATGCACACACACACTTTAAGTTTATATGTGATAACGCCTAGTAAACCTGCTAATATGGTGAAGCACCTATCCATCTATATGGCTGTGTCCATGCTCAGAGGATCTGAAGGGGGGCAGAGTAGCTAGTTCTTGTTGGGCTTCAGAGCTAAGGCAGTTGTTCTGTCTTTTCGGCCAGCTGTAAACCATACCCTCTGGGGACTGCAGGGTTTTCTACTCTTGGCCTAAGCCAGGAGAAAGGAGATTCCCAAGAGAAGAAAGAGGGAGGTTAAGAGTTTTTTCTCTACTTACCTTTAGTGTTTTTTGTATTCAAAAGTGGGAATGAATACCGGGAACTTGCACATTCACCGAGGCTCAAGTGGCCGTGGCTCTGCCTCAGGAATGGTGGTGCTGTAGGTGTTATGGGACGACCCAGGGAGTCCTTTGGGTGAGCTCTTGCCCCCAGCACCTTCTGCACCTGCTCTAAAGGAAGCCCCGCTCGCCTGGTACCTCCTCCCCAGAATTTAGCCAGTCTCCCCTTGGAAGTTTATTCCAGCAGAGGTGATGGGGGCATCAGCTTGAAGGGTATGATTCAATGAAGTATAAAGGCTTTAGCACAGCACCGGGCACATAGTATTATTTATGCAATAAATCTTAGTTATTTTAGTTACAACCTTTGGTAAGAGTAATAATATTATTCACCTAATCTGCACTATACCACTTATTCCTTCCATTATGGAGATTCTCTCTCCTTTAAACTGTTAAACTTGAAGAGGAAAGCAAACCTGATAATGTGGTCACATTTATACCCATAAATTCTACCTCCAGCACCTCCAAGCCCTGATACCTCAGATATAAGCAAAAACAATTAAAGTATAGAGAAGCCCTGAGAGGCGTTAGGAGGAAGTTTTCCCATGGTTTAGTGTGTTTGCAAAGGGAAGTATTATGGGAAAACCTAACCAAAGTTGTGAAAGAAATGGTCTCCTCGGTCATGCGGCATTTCCCAGCTTTCGTTGGATTATATGCTGTATTAATCTGCCCTGACTGATAAATGTTTATAGAAATGTGAAACTCTGTTACTTTGATTTTTATTTTAATTCAACCTCATTAAAAGCATCGCGCTATAGCCACCCTATCAGCATGTTCATAGACAGCTGTGGAGAAGATCTAGACAAAATAATCCTCCTGTAGAAGCGGAAGCCTCTGGCTATAGAAGGAAGATTACCAGGCTGGCAGCGCCTTCTCTACTCACTTGGTAAATGCTGGTCTCACTTTCCTCAGCTGTGAAAGGAGATCATCGGAAAAGGTCATCTCCAAAGTGAATAATGTTACATTTCTGCAGTTCCTCAAGGCCATGTAGTTAAGAAGTGGCAAAACTAGGAGGCAGAATTCCTAATTCCTCAAGATCATATACTGAATCTCCTAAGTGAGTGCTTCTCGCTATATTGGAACGCTTGCGTTAGGAAGAACGATTTTGTTGACATTTTAAGTTTGACAGCTCTTTAAATTATTTTGCTATCTCTACAGGCAGCAGAATGTTATTTTTCTCAGGTTAGGCTAACACTAACCACATTGTTACCACTTAAATAAACAAATATTTATGTTTAAATAGTACTCTTATCAAACAAGCATCACTTTGTTGCTTTCGTTGAAATCTGGATTGCTAACAGTGGGTTCTTGAGCTAGTACCAGTTAACTTTAGGCAGCAAGAAATGCAAACGATGACGATCTCAAAGAAGAGTTACCTCATTTTCCCTCAGGCGCTCCAATTTAGCCTAAGTTAAGACCCATACATATTGAGAAACTGTTAACAAACAGCCCTGAACCGAAGAATGCATTAAAAGTTTCAAATTCACGTGTATCTTTAAATGCTTTTCCTTTTGGGGTGAATTTAATGCTCTGTTTTAAGAGAAAAACATTCAGTTGTTTAGGCAAAGTTCTTAGGTAAAAATCTTTGTTGTGTTTTTCCATATAAATTATCACCTAAGCAAAAACAGGAGTGAAGGGAGAGATTGGTGATGACCTAAGGCTGAACTCCCTTTCTGAGAGAAGAGGAGGCTGTGGGGAATGAAAAACTAGCTTATCTCTGGAAGTTCCTATGTGTTCTGTATCCATGTATCCTGACATCATAGGATTTCCCAAAACTCCTTTGAGGGAGGCTGCCCATCCTTCTGGCAAAGTTTGCCTATTTTGATGATGATTTTGAGTACTTCTAGTTCTTTATAGCCCAAGAAATCCAGAGAGGTTCCCTATGTTTTAATTGTTGATGAGAATCAGATTTTTATGCTCAATTAAAGTGCTTTAATGTTGATCTAATGCAGTTCATATGGAAATTAATAATTGCAGGAAATACTTGTTAAGACCAAAAAGAAAAATCACTGGATTATATGTAGATGCATATTGCTTCCATTACTATTAAAAGCAATTAGATAGATCCCTCTCCCCCACTGAGAATGGGCTCCTAAATATTTTATGGTCAGAATAACTGATTTAATTGATTTACATTTAACTGTAGTTATTTTTACTGATTTGTTCAAATAAGTTTCTGGAAGATTCAGATTTGACTAACACTAACTGTGGTAAGTGCTTTCGCACAGCTTCCTCGTATTCTCATTTAATTCTCACAACAGCTCTGCAGGGTAGGTCTAATTATTCCCATTTTACTTACTGAGAAACCAAGGCTCAGAGAAGTTAAGTAAATTTCCCAAAGTCTCACAGAGCTAATAAGTTTGAACCCAGGTCTTCTGACTCCAAATACAGTGCTCAATGCATTAAACTAAACTGCCTTCTTCAGGCCCAAAGAGGTCCATTTATCACAGAGCTTTTAAAAAATTAAACAGTTTCTATTTGTTTGGGAAATATTTCATTTCTCAAACCATACTGTGTCATACCTTATATGTACTCTCTTACTAATTCAATATATTGGTATAATTCAATAGTTCCTGGAAAGCCTGGTGGTTTTCTATGAATAAGTATAACATTTTCTGCCTACTGAGAACCTTCTGTGTTTATCCAATAAATAACTCATATTATCTACTGTCTACCTTAAAGGGCAGATGTTCATGCCAGTTTATTCTAATAAAAGTCAAGTCGTTTACAAACTGCACCTGTTTTGAATGGGTATCATTGCTTAAAATGTAAAGGACTTCCTAGCCTACATCACAATTACATGCTCAGGGTTTTTGCTTTCACTTTTTAATTTTGATGTCAGAGGATTTTTATAATCTTTAGGCTAAAGCAACCTCATAGCAAAATATACTTATTTAGTCATTTGTTTTCTATTCTTTCCTTTATCAGGGCATGGGGATTTTTTTGTTTTGAGGCTTAAAAAATAAAAGGTTATAGGTAACTCTGAGACAGCCTAATCAAAATCCCCCATTTTACCAATAAGAAAATCGAAGCCCAGAGATATTAAAGGGCCCATCCAAGGTCAGCAAGACAATAAGTAGTAGATTCAGGACTAGAAAATCAATCCAGAATCTTTCCTCCATACCATAGCTGGAAGATTTGGATTTTAAAAAATTAATTAATGGAGCTGTCTGGCAGAAGGCCCCATTGGCTTCCTGCCTTCCAAGAAAAACACTCATATAGACCCAGAAGAAGGCCACCTCTCAATTCTAGAATCTAGACGGAATCAATACAATTTACAAGGCATTTGGAAGTAAAGTGAGACAAAACCTTTCAGGTTGTAGCTGTTTTCTTTCGCTTTGCTTCATGAAACAGGTTCTGTGAAATAGAAAATCTGAAAGATATTTAATACTTGTTCTCATTAACCATGTCAGTCTCCTTACTCAGAGCTCTGGTGCCAGAAAAATAACTGGCTTATCCTTTCTCTTAACCAGATGCCACACTATAAAGTGAAAAGCTTCTCTATCCCACCCTCTCTCCCATCTCCCCACC